TCCCCTAAGTGGGAGCCTGCTTTGCTTATTCCTGGTCACATCTCACAGCAGAAACCAGGGAGAGAGTATACTCATGGGGGCACTGGCATTGTGCCAGTGTCAAACCATGACAGACCTTAAAGAGCACCTTGTTCCACCCCCGCCCCTGCCATGGACCTCCCACTGTCCCAGGCTGCTCCAAATGTCCAGCCTGGCCTTGGGCACTGGCAGGGATCCAGGGGCAGCCACAGCTGCTCTGGGCATCCTGTGCCAGGGCCTGCCCACCCTCACAAAGAATTCCTTCCTCATATCTATTCTAACTCTACTGTCTTCTAGTTTCCATCCCAGCAGAGCTCTGAATTTTCAGCCTGGTCCTCCCTGCTGTTTTCTGGGGGACTCAACAATGATCTGAGTGAGGTGGACAGAGGATGCAGCCCCAGCAGAGACACTTTTTCTGGTTCTTTCAGACATTTGGGGGTTGAGGGATGCTGATGGGGGTGGGTTGGGTATGTCCCAGCCCCTGGAGCCAGCAGTCAGGGTGAACCAGGGACACAGCCCCACAGTCACCTCCCTAAGGCTCAAAAATTGCAAAACCTCAGGTTTTCCCTGTTTCTTTCTTTTCTTTTCATGCCAAGAATGGAGAGGGGTGTGGAGCAAAGACGCTTTTTTATTTCACCTTAATTTTCTTTGAAATACTGTACAGTTCATCCTCTTTGGTTTGCTCTGCTTCAAAAGAAAGGCCAGGAAAAATCAGAGGCATCAGCCATTGGAAAGAAGAGTATTCCCTGGAATATTTTATTTTGTAAAATGCCTTTGCTGGAGTAAGAATGGGACCTTTAGCAAGATACACATTTCTTATCAGCTATGACCAACTTCCTGTCCTGACATGACTTTGGGGAAACAAAGTGTTTTCTGTGAACCAGCCAGAGGTGACCAGCCAAGGTGGCCATGCTCTCCCCTGGACCCACCACACTGGAGACAGATGGTCCCCAGTCACTCCCACAGGCACAGCTTCTTACTGGAGTCAGTTCCAGGATGTGACATCATTTAAAAAATTCCAACATTTCTCCAGCAATGTCAAGAATGGTGGGGGTGACATTTCTGGACATTGGTGGAATGTCATCAGTGCTGGAGCTGGAGCAGGGCGGGGGTTTGGCTTAGGGGCAATTTCTGAACTCAGGACATCTTTAATGACATCCTTTTCTGAGTGATTCCCAATTCCTCAGCATTAAATCCTGCTATAAATAGCAACTTACATCACCCAGTCTCACCAGTTTTTTTCCAGGTTCTCCTTTCATTCAAGACAGAGAATTTCCCTATTTCTGACAGAACTTATTTTGGGCATTTGCTTTACTTAGCACTTTCTCCTGGGATTTTTCGGGGGACTTGTAGAAAACCTCAATCATATCCCTCTATGTAAAACAGGGCAACATCAACCAGACTCCTTCAGATGGCAGATCTCACTGACTCCAAGCACTGCCTGCTAGGTCAGGAATTCTGAAACCACTTCATGGGAAAACCTCCTTCTTACACCACCACTTTGCTGTGTAATTAAATTAATCCCCCCAGAGATGCTCCAGCCCATTTTTCCCACTCTTCCATGGCCATCTTCATGTCTCAAGGCAACTCCCAGGGAAGATGGTTCCTCATCTGAGACACACTCAACCTCCCTTCCTAAAAGAAGGAAGAGCTGGAAGAGATGACTTTCTCTTTTCATCATCATTGGAATGTGGGAAATGGGTAAGAAAACATTTTTTAAGAGGATGTTGCATCCCAGGGCATCACTGGCATAACTGTAACCTCCCACCTCTATCCAGCTGGCCATGAGCTGGCAGAGCAGGATCTTTTATCAGATTTCTAAGGAAGAATTAGATTCCTAGAAACCAAGTAACTTGGCTTTGGGGTTATTTTTGGCTCTCAGCAGTAGAAAAGTTTCAGCCCTTACCAGTCCCCTATAAGACACACTACCTAAACTAAACTGATCCTAAACTGACTTAGGAAATTTTTGCTTTGATTAATTTCAAAATAGCCCCTGAGAGTCTAAAATAATTTGGGATGTGCTTGCTGACAAAGGGATTAAGGCACAGAGGTGTCCAGCTGCCTGAAAGGAAAAATCTCTCATTGAAAACATTTGAATAATCAAATCAGATCCCAAACTAATTCTTCTGTTTTCACAAAACTCGTCTTTTAGCAGAACATTCTCCACATTTTGGCACTGCGCATCTCAGGAGCAGGACGGGAGCACTTGGCTGGAGGTTCCGGATCTCCAGGTGCAACCCACAGATGCTTGAAGGCACAGTCAGAGGGGACAGCTCAGAGGCAAACCATGCTCCTCCATCCATGTACGAGTTATGTTCCCTGAGCAGCCAGACAGGATCCGAGAGAGCTGATGCTCACTCCCTCCTGGCCCAGCTGGAGTCCCTCGGAACGCCAGGTTCCTACCTCCTGCCTGGCTGGGCGCCCTGCTTGTGGAGGCAGGCTCTCTCCTCATCTTCCCAGGATGTTTGGAGACAAGCAAGATGACAGACAGAGTGAGGCAATGGGATATAGACTGATTAGTGAGCCTGCAAGGTGCCTCTTTGCAAAGGGAAAGATGGAAATGGGCCAGATCAGCTATGGAAGGGGATGCTCAGCTTGGCAAGAGCCATATTTGCTTCATGGGTTAGATCTGCCCTCCCCAGCCTTACTGAGAGACACCACCACAGCTCCCAGCAGGAGCCTTCCTGAGGGTGGGGACAAGTCTGGGGCATCTCCTGTGCCTTGTCCTCTGGAACCCTCCCTGCCCACCTGGAGCATGGAGCTAACTCCGCACGACTGGTGGAGAGCTGAAGGATCTTGGGAAAACACCAGGTTATTTACAGAAGGTTCCTGGGGCAGTAACTGGAAACCTTTAATAGAAATAGGATGAGTCAGTACCCAGCGCTGCTAGGGGGAGTGCAGAGATGCCAGGGTGAGGTTGGGTTGCTCCATTTACATTATAAACCTTCCACTGTTATTTAGGAAGTATCTATCAAGACATCACCACTCCAAATAACAAAATGGAGACATTCCCCAGGAATGTCTGTGTTCCTGTAGAGAACAGGAAATCCTTCTAAGAACATCTCACTACAGCTGGACGGCCCTCAGCTCTTCCCAGAGCACTCATCACCTCCCTGCCCAGCCTTCCCTCTCCTCCTCAGCAAGTCTGTCAGACCTCCATGGCTCTCTGTGTGGAGGGTGGTGTCTTCTTTCCAGTGACCCATCCCTGTCTCAGCCCTTGCCCAGCCTTCACAGAGCTGTCACTCTCTCCTACACATTGTACTGCTTCTCCAGTCACAGAATCACAGAATCACAGAATTTCTAGGTTGGAAGAGACCTTCAAGATCATCGAGTCCAGCCCATGTTCTAACACCTCAACTAGATCATGGCACCAAGTGCCACATCCAGTCTTTTTTTAAACACATCAAGGGATGGTGACTCCACCACCTCCCCGGGTAGATGATTCCAGTATTTGACCACTCTTTCTGTGAAAAACTTCCTCCTTAATTCTAGCCTGTATCTCCCTTGGCACAGCTTGAGACTGTGGCCTCTTGTTCTGTCTGTTGTTGCCCGGAGAAAGAGACCGAGCCCCAGCTCACCACAGCCACCCTTCAGGAAGTTGAAGAGAGTGATAAGGTCACCTCTGAGTCTCCTTTTCTCCAGGCTGAACAACCCCAGCTCCCTCAGTCGTTCTTCATACGGCTTGTGTTCCAAGCCCCTCAGCAGCCTCGTTGCTCTCCTTTGGACACGCTCAAGCATCTCAACGTCCCTCCTAAACTGAGGGGCCCAGAACTGGACACAATACTCAAGGTGTGGCCTCACCAGTGCCGAGTACAGGTGAAGAATGACCTCCCTGCTCCTGCTGGCCACACTATTCCTGATACTAGCCAGGATGCCATTGGCCTTCTTGGCCACCTGGGCACACTGCTGGCTCACGTTCAGCGGACTGTCAACCAGCACGCCCAGGTCCCTTTCCTCCTGGGCACTGTCCAGCCACACCGTCCCCAGCCTAGAACGTTGCAGGGGGTTATTGTGGCCAAAGTGCAGGACTCAGCACTTGGACTGTGGTCTGTGGTCATTTTCTCTCATCAGCTAAGACAGGATACCCTTTTCTTCCCAACATCCTAGTTTCTGTCCATGCCCTCACCACATAGTTAATCTGCTCTTCATTTTCAGAATCACTGTTTCCTTCCTCACCCTGCTCCTGGAACTCCTTCTGCCTCATCTTCAGGTTATCCACAAATATCCACACTTCTTTCAACTCTCTGCATCCTCATGCCCAGTCTACCAGTAGCTCTTGAAATGTAACTGTATATTCTTTATTTTAAAAAAGCAACAGTTTGATTAAATTGCAATTTAATGTCTCCTAATAGGACCTGGGGTGCATCAGGCAGTTCCAGGAGATAACAAGTAGCCCATCTCAGCACTCCTTTCCTTTAAATTAAGGAGGAAACTTGAGTGTTTCAGCTTCTCAGATTCCTCTTTCATGCCCACCACTACCTATGCCAGTGCCTGCAGTGCTGTCACAGCTGCAGGACATGCCCTGAGGCACCTCCAGCCATGGGGAACACATGCAGGACACTGGTGACAGCTCCCATCTCCTGCTCCTGGGGTACCAAGGGCTTTGCAAATATGGGAGAATCCTTGGTAAAGGAGACTTGTCTCTTTTTCCCTAACCAGCCTCATCTCACTAATGCTTCTGGCCCCTCCAGCATAGTTCTCTCATGGATACACTCTCCCCTCCAAGCTGCCAGGAAGGTTGGGTAACAGGGGACTTAGCAAATGCAGGAACCTCCACAGAGGAACTTCTTACTAAGGGACAGGCATGAGAGAAGCAGAAATAGCCACAGTGACTGTTTCATATCCTGTGTCACTGGGGAGGCACTGAATCGAGCAGGGAGCTTCACTCTTCCGGAGCTGGGGCTGCCCTGTTCCATCACGAGACTGCAGCACAAGTGGACTCTGGTGGAAATTCCACCATGCCTACGCAAGCTCTGCACAGACCTCTCGCTCTATAAATTGAGAGGCTGCTGATGGTCTCAGCATCAGACAGCAAAGACGCTTCCAAGCTACCCTTGCCTGCTCCAGCTCCAGCTCCAGCCACCACTTCTCCAGCAACATGAAGGTGTTTGTGGTTGCCCTCACCATCCTCATCGCTGCCTTCTGCTACCAGACCTCTGCTGCTCCACGTAAGTCCAGGGTCTCCTCACCTTCCCAAAGTGGGGACAGGAGAGATGTCGCTGCTGGGACAGCCCCTTCTGACAGCAATTCCACTCTGGGTCTCTCCCTCTGTCCCACCATCTTCTGGCAGGTGCTCCAGGGCTGTGGGACAAGAAGAGCTCAAAGACCATTAGCATAAAAGCTAAAGGTTTGCTACCTTTTTTAGGGTAAAAGCACAACCATGCCCCCCATCCCTGCTACAGGGATCAAATGTGGGCACCCTGAGTAGGGCTAGGGCTGGCCAGATTTGGGCTGGGAGATGTTGCCTGGTGGCATGGGCTGTGTCAATGCTAGCTCAGGGTAAACCCAGCAGGGAAATAACTGAAGAAAGAAGAAAAAAGACCCCATCTTTTCTCTTCCTCCTCCACATAATCCCTGCTCCCTAGACCCAGGGATGGGTAATCCCAGCTCCCTGCCTTGTCCCCCATCCCTTTGCACTGCTCATGACTGTCTTTGCCTTTCACAGTTGGCTCCGACCCACCAATCTCCTGCTGCTTCTCCTATGTCTCACGGCAGCTGCCCCGCAGCTTTGTGAAGGATTACTACGAAACCAACAGCCAGTGCTCCCAGCCTGCTGTCGTGTGAGTCCCTCCTCCGGGGCAGGGTGGTTTTGGGCTGAGGAGCCAGGGAGGGAAAGGCCCTTTTCCAAAGACAGGGAAGGAAAGCTGGGATAGACAAGAAGAACAAGGTGATGCTTGGAGCACAAAAGCCATATGCTGTTCCTGCTCTACCCCTTTGCAGATAAAACGGGTGGCTGCTGGATAAGATGGGCAAGGCATGGAGCTGCTCATCTTTGGGAGAGGCAGGACTTGGGCAGGGCTCTTGTCCTGGCCCTGGAAGTACCCAAGGCCAGGTTGGATGGGGCTTGAAATAACCTGGTCTAGTGGAAGATGTCCATGCCCATGGCAGGGAGTGGAACTGAATAAGCTTTAAGGTGCCCTCCAAAGCAAACCATTCCATAATTCTATGATTCTGTGATTCTCCATTCAGTGCTCTCCCACCAAAAACTGACCTCCTTGCACCCCACAGGTTCATCACCAGGAAGGGCCGGGAAGTCTGTGCCAACCCCAAGGAGGACTGGGTCCAGCAGTACGTGAATGAGCTGGAGCTGGACTGAGCTCCTGCACAGACCCAGCTACTCCATGTCCCCAGCTGCCGGGATGGACAAGCGTGACCAGCTGGGGTCGACTGGAAGTGCTTCAATGTCATTTAGAGCTAGCTGAGAAACTGAAAACATTCCAAAACCCAACTTAATGTTGTGCTATTTCATTTTTTCTAGGGGAGGGATCAGGTGCAATAACTCTGAGATAAAAAATATTTTTATTTAATATGTTTTTGGGTTTTTTTACCTGTAGACTCAGATTATATTTTCTGTATTTAAGTAACTATATTTTTGACATAAAATTAAATTCAGATGACAATAAATAAATATTTTTGTAAGAATCTTCTGTGTTTGCCTCTGTTACAATCCTTTGGGATGACAATAGCTGAAATTATAATAGTGACAGCAGGTTCTTTATTTCCTTTTCCACACTGTCAAAACTCCTACAAGCTTTCTGTGTCTGAACATCCTGTTTTGCAAAATAATAACAAGAAAAGCCATGAAGGAGGAGTTGTGAGAAAGGCAGGGATTCCATTCAGGTAACTTGTCTTAAGCTTTTTCTAAGTTATTTAATTTCCATTCATTATGACAATTGGAAGCTCATTAAATTCCATTTCTGGCCCCATTATAGTCAATCAAAATATTACCTTTAGGGGCTGAAATTTAACATATTGGCTGTTTTAGGGAAAGCTTTCTGAGAGCTACAGATAAAATGGATCAGCTATTTCCAGAGCCGAGGGTGGAAAAAATATGTTTCACTGCAAGAATTTTAGAATTATTTCATTAAGCTCTCATTTAGCTGAGACATGAAGCTTGGCAGATATTCCCTTAGTAATACTTTGACTCCAAAACTTGCTCATCTCTGGAGATGCCTGTCCAGAGATGATCATGCCAGACCCCAGCCCAGGGCAGGACCTGCCCCTGCAAGGAAACATTTCCCCTGGTCCCCCCCTGCAGCTGAAGGAAATGGACCTCACCTTAGTGAAGGTATTTCCCATGTCCTTGATGGCATTTCCCACACCACTGATTGCTCTGATCAGCTCTGGACAGGATCTGTTGGATCAGCAAAGAGTATTTGGGTTCCTCCTGCCTGGATCTCTGGTGCACTCCACGGAACAATGCTCAGCTTACCACACTGAGTTTCCATACTGGATTTGGGATTTCAAACATAAACACCAGCAGGACACAGGCCAGCAGGGCAGGAGGCAGCCCTGGGAAGGGGTGACCTTGAGGAAAGGGTGGATGGTGAGCAGAGAGAGGAGGATCAGGTGGGGCTGGGAGGAATCAGGGGGATGTGGGTGTGTCTGAGGGAGGAAGGAACACATCACTCCTCACTCGGGGAGCTGCAGCCCCTGGCTCCTCAGCCCATGGGGCCCTGTGCATCCCATCTGTCATCCCACCCCAGTGCTCACAGCATCCAGCGTAAAATAGCACCCTGAGAGGAGGGAAGTGAGGTAGAGAGCGGGACCAGAGCCCCCTTCCCTGAGACGCTGCTGGGAGAGGAGGGAGCCCATGGCTGGGAGATTTAGATGGACAATGCCACCGGCATGTGAAGGGGTTGGCTTTGGTGAAAGCCTGGACTCACCAGACCCTGCACAGCCCAGGGCCAGCTCCAGAAGGCAGACTCATCTTGGCCACTAAGTACCAGCCACCCTGAGTGCTTCTGGATAGATTCACCCTGAGGACTGAGATTGGCACAAAGCCTAGTGCCCAGAGCTGCCCTCACTCCAGGGAACAGCAGGAACAGGAGACAGGAGGGGGAAGAGGTGTGTTGGGATTATCCCAAAATCACTTGAGCCTTCACAGTCCCTCTTGGATACAAACCCTGCCTGCCTCTGTGGCACTGGGAGCAGTCCCACAGCCTCAGATTTCTTGTGGAAGGGCACAGGGTCATCCAGTGAATACCATCCAGCCCGGGCAATGCTGGAGCCTGCGGCAGACAGGCTGTCTGTCTTGTGCAGTGTGCTAAAGCACCCAGGGCGCATTCCAGCCTCCCACAGCCCCGCCCTCCCCCTCCGCTCCAGGGTACCTCAGCTGGCTCCTCACTGCTATTCTGGGAGCCTGCAGGAGCCCAGAATTACTCATGTCGTTCTTGATCTTGCACCCGCCTGTGTGTGACAGCTCAGAAGAGCGCGAGGAGCTGCAACTTCACACCCCCAGCAAAGAGGTGAGAACTGAGCACCTTCTGCAGAGGATGAGGAATGGCTCAGAGCAGGCAGGGGCTGCACTACCCATGGCACCATCAGCTTAGATCCTCACCCAGGGGTCACCCTGCCATGTGTCCTGGATATATTTGTGGTTGTGCAGCTGTTTGAGGCTGATTTTGCTGCTAGAGCTGAAGCATGCAAGGAGACCCTCACACCATGCAATCCTTGGGTCACAGAATCATGGAATCATAAAATCATGGAATAGCTTCAGTTTGAAGGGACCTCAAAGCTCATCCTGTTCCACCCCCTGCCATGGGCAGGGACACTTTCTGTCCTTGCAGGCCCCCAGCCTGGTAATAATTACATTGACTCCATGATTCACAGAAGGCTGATCAATCACTTTATTAAACTATACTTATTAAGAAACCTATTGCTTTTATAGACAGTTACAATACAGGTGGACCCAATTGGTCCTTCAAACACCATCACCACTGGTCAAACAAGAAACCACCCTTTGGTAAACAAATCTCCGTAACACATTCCACATGTTCACAACAACAGGGACAGCAAGTGAAGATAAGAATTATATATCATTCTTTTCTCTGATCTTCTCACAGCCTTTCCCAGCACAATGCCTGGGAAAGTTGTGCTGCTCTCTGTAGCCAGAGAGCTGCTGCCACAACCTTCCACTATCCAGGTTGCTTCAAGCCCCATCCAACCTGGCCTTGGACACTGCCAGGGCTGGGGCAGCAACAGCTGCTCTGGGCAACCTGTGCCAGGGCCTCCCCATCCTCATGGTAAAGAGTTTTTTCTGCCCAGGAAGTTCACGCCTGGGGCTCAGGGCTAATTGTGGTGCTCATTCCTCCCATAAACAGTCCCATGGGGTGCTCAAGCAGGTGGACACCAGAATCACAGAACATGCTGAACTAGAAGAGATCCTTAAGCTTAACAGAAGGAGAGAAAAGTGGAGTTGGGACCAAGAGGAGGGTGGTTTTCTGCAGAATTTTCTCTGGATTCAGATCAAAACAAGAACAATGCTGTTAAAGGGGTCTGGAATTTGTAAATTATTCATCCTGAAATCAGAGTGTGGAATTTATTGAATGTTTTGCACAATGTATATAAAAATAATTCTCTTTTTTTTTGGTTTTGTGGGGGTTGGTTTGTTTGGTAAAGTTTTTTGGTTTTTTGTTTGGTTTTTTTGACAAAAGTCCTGAGCAAGCCTAGCTGTGAACAAAAATTCAATCATTACTATGATAAGAATATCATTATTATATATGCATATGTCTCCATATTTGCTGTTTACATCACTCTACTGTGTCTGTAGGCATTTTGAGGCACACCAAATACCAGAGGAATTGGAGGGTGGAGTCCAGATTCTCACAGAAGGAGGAGCAGGGCTGTGCAGATGGGGTGTGGATTGAAGCCAGTCAATGTTCATGGTCTGAGCTTTTACATCTCCACTTTTCAGAGAGGAATTAGACACACTGAAGGGAAAATGTTTGTTCACCCAGAAGTGCCAATTCTGTACCTTCCTCCCCATCCCCAGGGCCCTGGTTTGCCACAGGGAGGGGAGGCTCAGTCTCCAGAACAGCTCTTCCCAGAGACACCATGAGCAGGGGGTGTGTCACTTCTAAAGCACAAGAATCCAAAAATATAATGTAAAAGGGGATGGGTTTGTTAGCTGCATACAAAAGTAGTGTTTTCCTAAAGTGGTGCAATACCCCAGTCTTCCAGGGCTAAGGAAGACACATAAGTATTACAGAAGAAATTGTGCCTGGCTGCTGCCCTTCCCTGTGATGGCCAACAAAAGGCAGAAGTGGCCTGGAGGACCCAAAAGAACATTTCTGCTGAGTTCTTAGAAAGACGCAGACGATGATTCACATCCCTCTGAGATGATGAAGCATTTTCTTCTGGAAGAGAAGGGTGCAACATTTTTAAGAAAGCACATTTCTAAATCTGCAGGTCTGTTAACTGTGCTGAATCATAACAAGGGACACTGCCAGTGCCTGGGAGTGAGGAAACTGCCCCGGAGCCAATGCCTAAAGTATTACTTTAATCTATTGATTGCTCAGAAAAACAGTAACATCCAATCCATGGTCCCTCTGCTGGATTTGGTATCTCAAGGGATTCCTGCCTTCAGCCAAACCACACCCCTTGACCAGAACAGTCCTTGGCTGGGGTAATAGATGGACTCGCTGACTTTAGAGGTGTTTTCTAACCTGAACAATTCCATGATTCTATGATTCTCTGCTGTGCTGTGCAGCCGTTCCCTCTGGATGAGGCTGAGCAGGATCTGGTCCTTGCAGGACAGGGTCTGTGTGGAGGCTATAGCCAGACATCTATGCACTGCCTTCGAGGATAGGGACAAACTCGCCATGGCTTAGAGAGAAATCCTGCTTGCAAATCACCCCAGGATCAGTTTCGGGGCAGCAGGGAGCTCCCAAAGCCAGGTCCCAGTGCTCCCAGCTGCTCTCCAGCTGCCAACCAGTCTAGGCATCAGAGGGCAGACTGGTATGCTCCAAGCAGTTCCTTAGAAGCACGTGATGCAGAGTCCACCAGACGGAAAATCTGGGAGCCTACTCAGAACTATCTCATGCCTTTGACCTCCACTGTCCTTCTCGGGGGAGGCAGATTCATGATTGCTAGAAACACTTTGGATGCTGCATTGGGGTGAGCTCACATCCTTTCTACTCATTCATTTCTTCCCCTGCTTGCAAGATCTCTGAATTGTTGCACTTCCTTCTGCTTCTTCTGGAAACACTTTACCCACCCAGGCCTGCAGCAAGTGCCACTTGTCCGTCACCTGCCAGGATCAGGTTGCTCTGGACAGTTTCTATTCCATCACCTCCTCCCACTCCTGGTTCAGTGACATTTTCCCTGGTTCCTTCCCTGCACAACAGGTTTCTGTGGCTGTCCTCACTACTCCCTCCACCAACTGCCTCTGCTTTCAGCTCTTTGTTAAGGCTGTGAAGTTTATGTCCTTTCTTATTTCCTCAGGCTCCATAAACTTCTCCATGGAGTGAATATAAGATCATAATCTCCATGTAATATCTCCAGGGTGTCAATGCACTGCAGGAACCCACTGAGATCTATCATCCTTCTCCTTCCTGGGATGTGGCAAAGCTGTGACTAAGCTTGTCTCACTAGTCTGTTTTCTCTGTTGTGCAGCCACCAAAAGAAAGATCCTG